CCCCCAAAAGTCCCCGACGATTTCAATCAGTAGTGTTGCCCCTTCACCACCACCGCGCCCCCTAAAAAGAGAAGAAGAAACCGCGCCAACTGCCAACACGCCACTGGCGGACGAACTCCGACAGCGTGAAGACCCCCACAGTGAAGGATCATTGTGGGATCCAAGGTTGCCTGTTCCAGACGAAGAACACGTGCTGGAAGGCGTCACACGCATCGAAGGCTTGGATTCACTGGAGCAACTTCGAGCGCTTCCGAGCACGCTGAGGGAAGCAACTCTGGCTTCCGACTTCGATCAGAGCTTAGAGAGTGTGAGCCTTCCAGATCAACTGCAGCTGCTGCGATTTGGGAACGAATTCAACCAGAGCCTGCAGCGCTGGAAATTCCCAGAAGAGTTGCAAAAGCTGGTGATGGGAAACGATTTTAATCAGACTTTGGAGCAGGTGAGCTTACCCCAACGCCTACAGGTCCTTGAGTTGGGCGATGATTTTGATCAGAGCTTGCAGAAGGTGACATGGCCTGAGACTCTGAATCCTGGCGGATAGATGAATTGGCTCGGTCGGTGGTTTATCGGTCGGATTTTAGCGCTCTGACCTGTCAGACAAGTAGGCTGGAGCAGCCCATAACCGATGGACATGGGCTTTGTTGGGGTCCCTTTTTGGTCCCGAAACCTGCTTCCGAACCCCCGCTCCGGGGGCCGAGAAGTGATGCCGCTGCCGGGGGGGGTGGGGGACACTTGGCAGAAAACACTCGCATTCATTGTGCGGCGTTCCGTTCCTTTTGCTCCGTTTCGCACCCCAACTAGAGACAGCTGTGGCCGCGGTGAGGAAGAGCTTGACGTTCGGACATCGTTTCAACCAACCTGTGGACCACGTGCTGTTCCCCTCCAGTTTGGAGACCCTGGAGTTTGGCTCGGCCTTCGACCAGAGCTTGGATCACTTCAACTGGCCCAGCGGTTTGAAGAAGCTGGACTTGGGATTCGCTTTCAACCGGAGCTTGGAGAAGGCGAGGTAGGGAAGACACGCAAATTCTGATCTGTCCATGCCAGGAGTCACGTAAGGAGTTGGGTGGTGTGCCTCGTCCCATCCAGTGAGTGGATGTGACAGGGGCACCCTTAACCTCCGATCGCACCCCGTCGAACGTGACTGCTGGTGGATGTTTCTTTTTTGGTTCCAAGGGAGCCTAAAACCGAACCTCTAACACCCAGAAGCGACCTGAGCCGTCGCCCATCGCGATGAGTGAAGCCGCCCGCACTTTCACCTTTCTGACTCAGGTCTTGTGGCCGGAGTCTTTGCAGAACTTGATCTTCGGCCACTGTTTCAACCAGAAGCTTACAACTTGCCCCCCTCACTTGCACTCGCTGGAATTGGGCGACTGTTTTGATCAAGCCTGGAGCAGCAGTTTCCTCCCCAGCAGCCTACAAAGTTTGGTGCTGGGTTCATCTTGCCGTTTCGAAGCAGTTTCCTCCCTGCCGGGTCTACAAGAGATGGAGATCAGTCCTTCTTTGGATGCCTTGAGACAATTGAAGTGGCCCAGCACATTGACCACTTTGACCTTTGGCCGAGTGTTTGATCAGAAATTGGAGGGAATCACTCTTCCCGAGACCTTGAAAAGCTTAACCTTCGGTTTTGCCTTCAACCAAAGCTTGAGGGATGTGATCCTGCCCACGGGTTTGGAGCGTTTGGAGTTTGGATCTGCCTTCATCCAAAGCTTGGAAAAGATCAGCTGGCCCAAGAGCCTCAAAAGCCTCATCCTTGGATCATGTTTCAACCAGAGTTTGGAAGATCTTGCGTTGCCCAACAGCCTTGAGAGTCTTCATCTTGGATTCCGCTTCAACCGAAGCTTGGAGAAGGTCATTTGGCCCAGCAACTTGCAGAGCTTGACTTTTGGCACCTGCTTCAATCAGCCGTTGGAGCATGTGATCTTTCCCAGCCAGTTGCAAAGCCTCAAATTCGGCACGTCTTTCAATCAAAGCTTGGTGGCTGTGACCTTCCCCTGCAGTCTTTGGAGCTTGGCCTTTGGTAATGAGTTCAACCAGAGCTTGCTTGGAGTGACCTGGCCCAGCAACCTGCACAGCTTGGAGTTTGGAGAGGACTTCGATCAGGACTTGCAGGAAGTGACTCAAAGTGCAAAAAGCTCTTGGAACGATGTTGAACTCATTGATCAATGTTGATCCACTCTTTTAGTCAAAATCGTGCAGACCCTCTGGATTCCGCTCGAATTTTTGCGAGACTCTCAACAGACACGGACGTTTTGGTTGTTTTTAAACAACACTCTCCCATACTCTCCCCC